TCAAGTAGAGGAAACAAATGTTCACTATGTCTAGGTGAAGGAGGATGTGACAATCATATTGTTTTTGTAGGAAAAAAAGAACTAGAAATAGTCTGAAGGATAAATTAAATATGGTATGATTATACCCAGATAAAGGACATATTTGAAAAGTGTAGGTAGATGTCGATAGATGAAAATGTAGTCAAGCTAGATGAAGAACACTGAGAATTACACATAAAACTTGTTCAGAAGAGAAAATATTTTAATTTGCAGAAGAATCAGGAGTCAGGGGTGGTTTTAGGGGGTTAATATTAGTCTGGATGAATTGTATTGTTCTTATTACTGGAGGAGAACATACAAATCATTAATGGAGAAGAGCATATCCTGACTATACCAAGCTGAGGCACCTTAAAAACATAGCAATACCAGAAAATATTCAACAGAAAACTGAAATGGAGTGCTTAATAGAGATGGGATTTGAAGGTAGACTATCAAAATCTTTTAGTGAAACCATGAGATATCATTGTTGGCAAGAAAAAATATTCTCTGTTGTCAGTGTCTCTTAAAGCTCTCACAGTGAGAGACATGTTAAGTTTACTTTCTATCCTTGGATAAAATTCATAAAAGATCCCCTATTATCATTCTTTTACAGTAGAACAAAATTAAACAATAAATAACAAAGTGAAAAACAAAACTTCACTCTACTAATTTTGAGAAATTATTACAATTCTTGCTCATCAAGGTCCAATATCAAAATGTAAGTTGTCCAGGCAAAGAATTACCTATTAGCATGTCAATATTAAGTAGAAAAGTGTTCCAAATGGCATCAGGGACAGTGAAGACAGTAGTGGCCCAGGTGTTAGGTGACCATGTCAGAACAAGTTCCTGATGACTGGGCTACTAGCAAGTCCACTTTGTACCTGTCTATGGCCACAGGGATGAGGAAAGTTACCAGAATGAATCATAGATCAAGCATAATTTTACCATTTTAAGTCTCTTGTATGAACTCTTTTCTGAAACCAGGAAGATCTGACTATAACACATGGCAGAACCTTCACACATAGTCCTACTTCCCATGACACATCTGGGAATGTGTTTCAGGAGGTGTAAACTTTTGAACGACCCTCAAACTCTCTTCTTATGAACATCACAATTCATTAAAATACAACTTCGGCTCTAGTTTGTGCTCACTAACATTGCCAACATCCTATTATTTATCACGTGCCATGGCTTATTTCTTTGCTCCCTGTGGAGCCTATAATAGTGTCAAACATTCACATGCTTCTGCTTCAATTCTGGAGGAAAGTAAGAAGGAGGAGAATAAAAGGTAAGTGTAAGAAGTCCATTGGAACATGGGGGAAGAAGGGCTTCTGAGATTACAAGAAAGTCAGAGTTCAGAAATCCTATAGATAAATGCTTGTATTTAAGGCCATAAGAGTTCCACCCATGTCATCCCATCTCTACCCCCAGTCCTCTCATATATTTCCTGATCGGCTGAGTGTTTAGGAAGCAGGACAAGTGATGTGCAGGACATTCCCAGGCCACGTGAACTAAGTACTGAACATTTCATTACTAGACATGTTTTCCTTTAGCAGCTAAACCAGACCAGCATACCTTTGAAAATGTCTCAGACCTCTATCTTCTGTTTATTCCCTGTTGTGGTGATAGAAAAAAATTGTTGTTTTGAAATCTTCACTTAGTGTTGCTCTACTGGGGATGTGTCTAATTATGGTAAGTTTCCTTATTATTTCAAACATAACAATCTTTGGGTAAAATCAAAGTGTTTTCTTATTAATTATGGAACAAAAGAAAAAACACATGAGTAAAAATTCAATACCAACTTTGTGCTTTAATTGGCTGTTTTTAACAGGCTAATTGGTTGGAAAATAGATCTTTGGATAGAGTAAATTAACAACCCCCTTTCCATTGGTAAATATTAATAGATGAGAAAGAATGATAATTCTTTGTTTACTAAATACTAGACACTTAATGAAATTCAGCATCATTTGTAATTTTGTAATCTCTGAGTGCTGCTAGTCAGGCTACTGCTTCTGGTAGGCTTCCTCCAGCTTTATGACTTCCCCAGAGACATGGCATATTGCAAAGAAATGCTCTTTTTTTTAGAAAATTAAAATTTTTAATGAGTGTGCTTTGTTCACATAATGTGAAAAAATCCAACAAACACAGACATACATTTTTAGTTATACTATCTCCAACCACTTTGCAACTATAATAAAACCCCATGTTCATAATCCTGATGAGCCCAACCAACCACATAGATGGCTCAGGGGTTAAGAGTACTGGCTACTCTTCCAGAGGTTCTGAGTTCAAGTCCCAGCTACCACATGGTGTCTCACAACCATTTATAAGAGGATCTGATGCCCTCTCCTGGCATGCAGGTATACATGCATAGAACTCATATACATGAAATACAAACAAATATTTTCTTATAAGCATAGTTAAGAGAAATGGCAATTCTCAGAACTTCCAAAGATTTTCCATTATTAAATATATGTTAACAGCAAATTGTCTTCTTTTGTTTTTCGATGTTCTTCCACATCAGGACCTAAATAAATGATCTTTCTTATGCAGTTTGCAATTTATACAACATTAGGTGATGTGCTACCTAGTCAAAAGCTACACATCTAAAAAGCACAGCTGCATAGGTGTCCTTGTACCCAAATATTGTTGCCCCTCACTCTTAGTGTTCCATGTCCTACTTCTTCATTTCTTTACAGGTTGAAATAATTCCAGTACTCTACAGTAGATTACTTAGAATTATACAAGAAATAGTGAATTCTATGGAGTGAGGTTTATTGTTTAGCTAAATTTTATGATATCCCTATGAAGGTGTTAGTAAATTGCAAAAACTCTGGGTTTGGTGTCCCGGGTTTCAGCACCAAAATGTTAGTAAATTGATGCCTGAAACTGCAAGGAGACAGTTCAGCCCTAGAGGGTGAGGTATCCCAGACACCTCCAGCTACTCAGAAGAAGAGCTCTACCCTGAAGGTGTCCTGGATACCTGAAGCTGTTTAGCACAGCTGTGATGACTGAACTGGAGACAGTTCAGCCCTAGAGGGTGAGGTATCCCAGACACCTCGAGCTACTCAGAAGAAGAGCTCTGCCCTGAAGGTGTCCCGGACACCTGGAGATGTTTAGCACAGCTGTGATGGCTGGGACTGCAAAGAAACAGCCCAATCTTGCAAAGGAAATTTTTCTGACTTCTCAGGAGAGTCACGCCTGGAACTGCTTCAAGCAAGGAAGGGTATCCTGACTCTTCAGGAAAGTCAGGATACACCTGGTGTGATGGGGCATGGTCTCCCCGCAGCACACAACAATCTTGCTCCTCTCCTGGAGAGTTACAATCTCTGGTTTAGTGTTACCAGCTCTCTCTTGCTCAGTCCACTATGGGACGTCTTAGCAAGGTTCTTCTGTTCAGCTCCCCTTGCTCAGTCCACTATGGGATGTCCCAGCAAGGTTATTCTGTGCACCAGTGAATGAAGGTTTCACTCAAAACTCTTTTGAGAAAGAGGTTTATTTGGGAAGGAGGAGTCCAGGAGAGTAGATGCCTCTACCAGGATGGAGAGAACAGCTCACAACTGACCGGGCAGGGCAGTTTATATAGGATGTCAAGGGGGTGGGGTCAACTGTGATTGGTTAGCTTATTTTCTGCCCAGGGATTGGCCAGTTTTGTGGGCAACAGGCAGAGATGGCCCTGATTTCAGGGCCAAACTGTGTTTCTTTCACTGGCCTTTCTTGGCTTTTTGACACTACCTCTAAGGCCAGGGCACATTTCTTTCACTGACTCTGATTCTAGGGGCCAAGAGTGTTTTTTTTTTTGGTACTAGTTTTAGAGTCAGGGCATATTTCCTGGGTTCTGGGTTTGGGGATAAAGTGTTCATTTCTCTGGCTCAGGTCCCAAACACAGGCTGTGTTTTTTTCCCTGGTCCTGGGCTCGAGGGCCTGGATTCTGCTGTCCTGCTCTGTGACTGGTTGGTTTCACAAGTCAACTGGACAGGGGCAGAGACAGTTCTGATCTGAGCTAAATTATGTTTCTCTCACTGGCATTATCTGAGCCATCCTTCCCTAATTCTGGGCTCCAGGGTCAGGGTGGGTTTCTCTAGCCAGCCCCTTTTCTCTACAGAATGTAAATATGCACACCAAGTAAATACAAATAAAGGAAGATTTTCTAAACAATCACAGAATTTCCATTTGCTTTCTTTGAGATTTTTCCTGGGACTTAGTTTTTCAACTATTTCAAAAGAATGATATTTTTAGAGTCTACATTTTAAGAATCTTATAAACCTTGTCTGATTACTTGTTCGTTGTAGGAATTATAACAAAATTCATATGTGGCTTCTGATTCAGGATGAAGAGAAGTAAAAATGATTACATTATGAGTTCTCCTTGAGCATCACACTCAGTGTTTCCATTACTATTTCCCTTAATTCTTTCTTAAATTTTTCTGTTAGGAAACATTCACTTTCTGAACCTTCTTTGCAGCTAATAATATAATTCTGAGCACAGAGAGTATGGTGTGAAAGAGGAGAAAGAGAAAGACAAGGAAGAAAATATCATAAGGGGAAATAGGATCAGAAGGAGAGAGGGTGAAGGAGCAAGAGGAGTAGAGGAAGGAGAAGAAGAGGAGGAAATGCCAAAGTCTTCCAATCAAGCCAAATGGGAAGAATCAGATCACAGTGTTGGGGGCCATTCTTAGATATGTTTTATATTGCAGTTAGTCACATGAATAAGTAAAGATGTTTAAAGAAAATAAAACATTGAACATATCACACAGCATTAAACTTTTGAACTAGAATAGTCAAAACAAATATTTTAGCCTCAAAGGAGGTCATCCATTATGTGCAACCATTAATAACTATTAGCCTATTCAAAGGTTGACATATTGATTTATGTCACCAATATTTCATAAATATGTACAAACATTGCAAACCAATGAAATAAGAGTGACAGAACTCTATGCTAAGCCAGAATGTAATAGGTTCCAGGAGAATAAAGGAACAGGGACGACATCACAATTCCATACCATGCCCTAGCTTCACTTTCTAGGCCTTTTTAACTTAAAAATTTGTTTCAAAAGCATGTGATCTAAGTCCTCTCTAAAACCATAGGTGGCCTGACAACACAGATAAACAGGTATGTGAAAAAAATATTGCTAATCCTAGTGAGTGTCAAGTTAACTGCCTTTTTAAAAATTTTATTTATTAAATTTAATTTTACATATCAGCCATGGATTCCCTTGTTCTCCCCCTTCCCACCCTCCCTTCCCCCATCCCACCCCCCCCATTCCCATCTTCTCCAGGGCAATGACTCCCCTGAGGATTGAGTTCAACCTGGTAGATTCAGTCCAGG